TCACCTTCCTGGGATGGAGCAGGAATAACACTTAAGATCTGTTGTATCTGATTCACTGTTGATGTTCCAGGGAAAAGAGGTTTTCCAAGCAGCATCTCTCCCAGAATACAGCCGATGCTCCACATGTCCACACCTTTTGTGTAGCTGCAATCAAGAACAGAACTATCAGGACACACCCATACTCTTTTTAATACTGACATATGCTTGTGTAACCCTGTGACCCCATCTGTGTGTGCCCATCCATCAAGGAAAACAAACATGTCTAATTGAGAGACAAGGAGTCCTATGGCACCTTATGGACTAACGGATGTATTGGAGCATAAGCTTTCATGGGCAAAGACCCACTTCGTCAGATGCATGTAGTGGAAATTTCCAGAGGCAGGTATAAATATGCAGACTAGAGAAAATGAGGTTAATTCAGTCAGGGAGGATGAGGCCCACTTCTAGCAGCTGATGTGGAGGTGTGAACACCAAGGGCTCGTCTACATTGGCCCCTTTTCCGGAAGGGGCATGTTAATTTCAGAGGTCGTAATAGGGAAATCCGCGGGGGATTTAAATATCCCCCGCGGCATTTAAATAAAAATGTCCGCCGCTTTTTTCCGGCTTTTAGAAAAGCCGGAAAAGAGCGTCTACACTGGCCCCGATCCTCCGGAAAAAGAAGTGACCTTTGTGTAAATGAGAATGAGTGCCAAAGTGTATGACGACAAGGAGTCCTGTGGCACCTTATAGAGTAACAGATGTGTTGGAGCACAGGCTTTCGAGGGCAAAGACCCACTTTGTCAGATGCATGTAGTGGAAATTTTCAGAGGCAAGTAAAAATATGCAGGCCAGAATAAAGTAGTGATAATGAGGTTAATTCAGTCAAGGAGGGTGAGGCCCACTTCTAGCAGCTGATGTAGAGGTGTGAACACCAAGCGAAGAGAAACAGCTTTTGTACTTGGCTAGCAGAACAACTATCAGTTGCCTGATTGTTTGGGTGAGCAGAAACCCATGTGCACAAATGTTGCTGGAAAAGTGAAAAGGAAGAGCCACAAACATGGCTGAACTAAGCAGCTTTTCAGAGTTTCAACAATTGCTTACAAATTTTCCAGTATTTGTTTCACTCTAATTTGAATTTACTTGAAAGTCACTAACTAGACATATTTTACTATTTTTTTTTACTTATTTTTCATTCATTAATCATTTGAGTAGCCCCATTGATTGTAAAGGGCTACTTGCATAACTGGGTTGCATATTTTGCATCACTCCAAATGCCTAAAGAAATCTGAAAAAGAAGAACACTTGAATTGTTCTTTCTATGGACATACCTTATAGCTGAAACTGTCTGGGTTGTAGATCTATCCATTCAGGACAATGATCCCTCACTTTCACAGGCCTTGGGAGGCAGGCCAGTCCCTGCTCACAGACAACCCACCAACCTGAAGCAAATTCTCACCAGCAACTAAACACCGCACCACAGTAACTCTAACTCAGGAACCAATCCCTGCAACAAAGCTTGGTGCCAACTCTGCCCTCATATCTACACCAGCGACACCAGCATTCACCTGCACATCTACCAATATAATATACGCCATCATGTGCCAGCAATGCCCCTCTGCTATATACATCAGCCAAACTGGACATTGCCTATGTAAAAGAATAATATGGAGGTGGCAACCAACTGAAGGATATCTTGTAAAGGTCTATCTGAAATAATTATCAGAGGAAGTTTGTTACACAATTAAAGGTGAAAATGGTAATTAAATGATAAAAACCTGGGATACTCATCATATGACTTAAAATAAAGACACACACAAGTTTCTGGGAATTGATGTGGTGTGGTCAATGAATAAACCTCGTGAAATGTAAGGTTTAAATTTAAAATTACTTAATCAGAGTGAGGGAAACAATGGAGAGAATGATGTAAAATTCATACTCCTTAACCCAATATATATGTTTAATGATTTAAACTCTTAGTTTTTGCACAATGAAGACAATAGATGAGCATGCCTGGCATTTAACTTCTAACCTTAATAAAAAATAATCAACTATTACAAGGAAGAACCACTTGAAGATGGCACAGGAGGACTCTGAAGAACAAATCTTTCCAAATAAAAATAACCTTTTGTTGTTATAATTACAAAATTAGCGGACAAAGGGACTGCAGTGGATGTGATAATTTTAGTATTTGATAGTATGTCTCATGAAATCTAACTATAATAATTAATTCAAATTCCCAGGGATATCATGCCTCCACATAGATTAAAAATTAGCTTGCGGCATGTAAGCAGGGTGTTGTTATGTATGACAGCATATCAAGTTTTCAGGACTCACATGGATTGATCTTAAATATAGTGTAATTTTAAATTACAAAGCAATCTGAATCGCTTGGGGTACGTCTAGACTACATGCCTCTGTCGCCAGAGGCATGTAGATTAGACTACCCGGCATAGGAAAATGAAGCGTCGATTTAAATAATCGCCGCTTCATTTAAATTTACATGGCTGCCGCGCTGAGCCAATCAGCTGTTTGTCGGCTCAGCGCGGTAGTCTGGACGCTCCGCAGTCGACATAAAAGGCATTTGTCAACCTCCCAGGTATGCCTCATCCCAGGAGTCATGTAGTCTAGACGTACCCTTGGTGTCAGTGACCTATTTATGTAAGCAGAGTGCAAACAAACCATTTGTATTTTAATATGACCAAGTATATATGCACACATGTAGGAACAAGAATCTACAAGATGAGAAACTCTATCATGGAAAGCAGACTTTTAAAATGGTGGTGGTGGTGGTGGGGGGGGGGTCATGGTAGATAATCAACTGAACACAAGTTTCCAACATGACTGTAAGCGGGGTCAGGGTAAACTCTACCCTGACATCTGGTGGTGAACTGTGGCAAGTGGTACAAAGAGACTTCAGGGGCTGATCCCAATTTGCATAGACACACCCACCCTGTCTATTATGTGCTCACAGCAGCCCAAATGGTCACTTTGGCCACTGTGGGATCCCCAGTCTCTCTGTTATTGAGGCAGGGGGGATAAAAGTGTTTTTACCCTGATTATGCGAATCAAGGACAATGGAATGGTGGAAGTGTTTATGACAGAGGGATTCGCCATAAACTAAGTAACACTCACTAGACAAGGGGCATGGGTTCCAAACCCAGTCAAATTGAGACAGGTTGAGGACAGGTCTTTGTACCTGGTGGTGGGACCCTGTCTGATGGCCTGTGCAACACTGATTGTACCTCCCCCTCCCCCTTCCCTACTGTGGAATATCAGAACTAATTTAGATTCCATTTGGAGTTTAGTTGTGAGCTGCAGTGTTGACTTCTCTGTGGGCTAATGGAGCACTAGTACTAAGGCTCCTCTATTATAAGCTGGACTTGCTGAAGAGCTGAAATCACTGTGTGCTGTGGGATCTTCTGTTCTGAGCTGAAACTGCTGTGGGGAGTCTCGTGCTATACTGCGGGTGGAGCTGAACTCACCATTGCTGAGGGGAGCCTGGTGCTAAGCTGCTGGGCTACTAGCAGAGCAGCTTGCAAGGGACAACCAGCAAGTGCAGGCGAGCAGCTGGTGGAGATGACCTGCAGGTGTGGGCGGGCAGACAGCAGAGCGGAGGGCAGACAGCAGAGGGAGGACGGGGACGACCTGCGGGTGGCAGACAGCCAGTGGAGCAGCAGGAGCAACCAGCTGGCAGCCAGGGGCATGGACCGAGACGGCAGCCCCACGGAGAGGCGGAGCCATCAGCGGAAAGGTGGAGCCATGGGCGGAGAGGCGGAGCCATCGGCGGGCCACGTAAGGTGTATCGATCCCCGCCCCTCCAGGTTGGGATGGTGAAACCCTGCCTCACCCTGGGGCGTGAACTTTTGAACCCTGGGGCGGCACTGACCCGGGCAGAAACTTTTGGGGTGTTGGACTTTTGGGACTTTGGTGGATTTATGGCTGGGGGGAGGGCCTTTGCTCATGTTTGGCCTGTAAATCCGAGTTGTGGTGTTTTCCCAATTTAACGCTGATGTTCGTGCTATTTACTCGGCCTGGCAGAAGGGTTACATGACAGAATAACCAAAAGAACTTATATAAACCTTGGGGCTCTTGAGTACATTCCTCCTATGTATTTGGCACTGGTGCAACCACTACTGGAATACTGGATCAAGTTCTGGTGTCCAAAATTCAAGACAAATGACAGTAATTTAGAGAGGTTCAGAGGAACATCACAATAATGATTAAAGATAGAGATGGACCTTTGCTCTAACTCTGTGATCACCAACCAGTCAATCGTGATCAACTGGACAATTGCGGGGACACGGACAGTTGATTGCGAGGTGTTCTCAGTCCCCCAGTCTTCCCCTGTAAGCCCAACGAGGAGCCCGCGCTGGCACTACATGCTCTTACGAAAATGGAGCTAACGCCAGCTTCCTACAGCGTGGCTGGAAGGTCCTGCAGCTGCGTGCCAGATCTGGCTTCTGAGGAAGCACGCGCTGCTCCTCCCCTCCCAACAACAGCATGCGTGCTTCCTGAGATACCACCTCCAGCATATAGGTGCGGGACACACACACCGCAGGAAGGAAGGAAGGAAGGAAGGAAGGAAGGCAAAATGGGGAAGGAAAGGAAGATAAGAGCATGCTTTCTTGTCTTCTTTCTTCTCCGTGCACCGGGAAGGCGGGGGGAGGGGAGGGTAGGGTTAAGATGACAGCACAAGATCTAGAGCGGCTTCATCCAGCACTACCCAGAGATCCTTGTCCCTAGAGACCCCCAGGTACTGGCTGAGCTGTCCCTGTCCCCTCCCCCTGGCCAGATCCCCACCTGCACTCTGGCCCCTGCTCCCTGCCCAAACCCCCACCAGCAACCTGCCAAGTCCCCCACCAGCACCTTGGCCCCTGCCCAGACACCATCCAGCAGCCTGTCTCCTGGCCAGGCCCCCATCCAGCAGCCTGTCCTCTGACCAGCCCCCCACCCTGCACCCTGCCTCTGCCTCCTGGACAGACACCCACTAGCACCCTGCCTATTGCCCTGACTCCCATTAGCACCCTGCTCTTGCCCTCTCCTTCCTGGCCAGACACCTACTCTCAGCTCTTGCACCCTATTTTCCACCAAGATTCTGCACCCCCATCCCTATCCCACTCACCTGCAGCCCTGTTCCACACACTAGATCCCTCATTTTTGGCCCCACCTCAGAGTGTAACAGGGGCCCACAAAATCCACTAACCCTGGAACCCTGGAAGAGTTAATCTGTCCGGAAACCTTGAACCTCAGTCCTACCTACCCTACCCCCTCCTCCCCACCATGGGGCTGGAGTCCCAGGGGAGTGAGGCGTCTCAGTTGGGGCCACATCAGTGAAGCTTGGTGGGGGGGTTGTTTTTTGGATTGGATCTCACTTGCGTGGTCCCTGACTGATTTTTCTGTGGGTCAGTGGACCCTGAACCAAAACAGGTTCCCTGTCTCTCCCATAAATAAAGACAATGCTGAAACATTGTGTTGGACATAACCTTTTATTTAAAAACTAATCCTGGCTAATAAGCCCCCAATTGGGACCAAGCCCCCATCTGGCCGCAGCATCTTAACACTCCTATACCCCCACAGATCCCAACCCTGAGCCTATCATACACCTGAACCCCCTGTCCTGAACACTTCACATCCCCAAACTCCTGCACCCCCACAGCCCAGTCTTCTGCCACTGTACTTCCGCACCATCCACACACTGCATATGTGTCCTGAGCCCCTCATACTTCCCAACCCAAACTGCTGCACCCCCACATCCACAAGCCTGTGGCTTGCTCCACACACTTCAGATTGGAGCCCCTTCCCTGAGCAAGCATCCCCTTCTCCTCCTCCTCCTGCACCCAAATTCCCTCCCAGAGCTTGCACCTCTCATCCCTTTCCACACCCAAATCCCTCATTCCCACCCCAGAGCCCACACCTCCGGGCTCAACCACAGTGAGAGTAAGGGCTGGGGATAGCAAATGATGAAGAGGAGGGAAATGGAGAGGGCAGGGTCTCAAGAAAGGGGTAGGGTTTTGGGGAAGGGATGGAGTAGATCTTGGCTTGCCCTGACATTTAAAAAGTGATTTGGGTGTAAAAAAGTTGAAGGCCATTGGTCTAACTCCGCATTTCTCAAACTGTGGATCCCAACTCCCCAGGGGGATCACGAGCAACTTAGAGGGGGGTCGCGGTATCACAAAGTTTGAGAACCCCTGGTCTAGCCCAATATGTCCGTTCTTATGTTCTAGGGTTGGAAAACATGTCTTACAGCAATAGACTCAAGAAATTCAACTTAGCTTAATGAAGAAAAGGTTAAAGTGTGAATTGGTCACAGCCTGTGAGTACCTACATAGGAAATAAATATTTGAGAGTGGGCTATTTAATCTAGCAAACAACAGTGTAACAAGAATCAATGGTGGGAAGTTGAAGCTGAAAATAAGGTATTAATTTTTAACAGCGAGGGTAATCAACAATTATCAAATTGAACTAGAGCATATTTTTTAAATGAAATTCAATCTTGATGTGAAAAGTATTAGTGATGGAGAATTCAAACAGGAGTTATTTTGGGAAGTTCTTTTTTCTGTGTTACATCGAAGTCAGACTAAATGATTCGTGTAATCCCTTCTGGCATTGCAGTCTATGACTTTATAAATGAATCCCATGGAAGATAGTATTTATTAACATTCATAGAGCATACTAAATTAGAAGGAGCAATAAACATCAATGGAAAGAAATATCTGCAAAAAATAGCAAAATGAAAATTAATATGGATCAAACACAGCTAATATACATTGTGAGACGTAATATTAAACACAGAATCGTAGTGGAAAGGAGAAGCCCTGGAAGCAAAAAAGGCTAATTGAGAGCCTGAGGCGTGAAATCTTATCTAGGTTTTTGTACTGAGTCCATCACCATATGGAGCAATATTAAAGTGGGCAGCTTGTTAGACATGAGTTTTCAAAGAAAGGCTGCTGTAACGTTCAACTGTGTATTCAAAGGCATCACACATCATAGAAAAGGAATGCCAATTACTATGCCTCAATTCGGCAGTATAGCAAATGGAAGAGTAACTATAACGGTCTTGGTGGCACATGAATGGAAGTAAACATCAGCAGCTCTTCTAGATTCTCCCTCCACCCCTTTGGGCTAGACTTGTTTCGTCCTCACTTCAAACTGACTGAGGCTAAACTTGAAGCTCTCCTACCACACAACCAGTGCCTAGGGTGAAAAGAAGCTTTCACCCAACTCCAGCAACCTTATTCCCAGGTCTAGTGAAGGGAATGGATGCCATCCTAGATGGCATTAAAAAAAGTCTTATCAGCTCCATGGCTTCTCCTTGACTAAGACAATTGACAGACCAAAGCCCCAAAGCCTCTCCACAGCATAAGAGGCAATTTTTCAAGTGGAGCATCCAGGCAATAAGAAGAAAAGCCTGCCATTGGGGAACACTTAAGGTCAGATGTGAAAAGAAGGACTAAGGCAGCTTCCAAAATTTTGTCAAGGTACAAAGATAAAAGATCAATTTGGCATACCTGAGGAGGCACTGGATGAAAATCAAGTGAATGGTGGGAGCTGAGTCGCAGGTCTGTCCAGTGGGCAAGAGACCGGTGCAGAGAGAGATCAGGTGTATATTTTTTTGTGTGTGAAGATGAAATGGGGGCAGGAGATTGCATGCACTGGTGTTTGTGGTAAAGGTGGACTATAACATTTTTACCTCATATGTTAAAAGTTTTCTTGATAGAGTTTCAAGGGTGTAATAACACCAACATTGGGTTCCCAAAACATCTCAGAACAGCCCATCTCAGAGACATCACACAAACTGTTTCCCAATCTTTCAATTACCTACGAGATGAAAGTAAAATCTCAGGGGCTCGGTACCAGCGTGTTGCCACATACTCTGTCAATGGAGGGCTGCCTTGGTCCTCATGGATCTGACATAGGGAGCGAGCCAGTCCAAAATCACAAAGCTTAATAAAGCAATCTGCATCCAGCAGGATATTTGAGGGCTGTAGTTAAACACAAACATATCTATTAGAATTTCTTTATTCCCTGTATAGGGCAGAGATGGAGGAAATTAAAAAAAACCCTTATGTCAGGCTGCACCTTCCCTGCTAGGGACAGTCTTTTTTGGGGCGTTAGTAGGAAAATGACACAAAAGCATGCATGACTCATTAAAGGACTAACTGATACTATGATTATTATCTTTCTCATCATTCCCTTCACCACCCCTCCATATATCACTTAATGGAGGACAAATCTTTCCATTTAGGTAAGGACTAGTGAGTGCAAATGTACCTTCTGGTCTCTGTGAATGACATTCCCTGAGTGGATGAATTTGGTGGCCTTCAGCAGTTGATAAAGGATGTAACACTTGTGGATGTCTTTCAGCAAATTCCCCTTCTTGATCACAGCATGTAAATCTGTCTCTGTAAAACAGAACAATAGAGAAGTACTGTTTGAGAGTGAAAGGGACCCAAAATTAGGGCATCAAGTCTCCAAACTCATAGCTCTTTACCTCATTTTTAAACAGGAATTCAGCAAGACAGCAGTTGAAAAAGTTTTATTGCTATAGCTCTATTTCCTGAGAGACTGCAGTGCCTTCATGGAGGGCAGGCACAAATACATCAGTGGAAGCAAGGATTAGACAGTAACTGAGGGATTGTCTACATTGCTAAGTTTTTGCAGAAAAAGCTGCCTTTTTATGCTCAAACTGCAGAAGTGTACACTCCTCAATCAAACCAATTTTTGCACTGAAACTTCAGCTGCAGCATTGCAAAAGCAAATACCTGGACAATAGTCATAAGACTATTTGCACAGCATCCAATGCTGTATTGGCAGTGTAAACACCTTGGTTGCATTCAGCACTGTAATTGGCCTCCAGAGGTGTCCCAATGTCTAAAGTGACCACTCTGCTCATTATTTTGAACTCCAATGGCTTCCCTGGAGCCATGCACCACTCCCCTCTCAAAACACCGTTTCAGATAGCCATTGCATGCTGTGCTGATCTCAAGGACACAAAGAAAATCGTTAATGTGGAAGGCTCATGATTTTGAACACCAAGGCAGGCACGTGAGTGTGAGAGAGATTCTGTGCAGTCAGGGTTTCCTCCTTCCCCTGCCTTAGGACTGGTTGCTTCCTACTAGGAAGGAGGAAGGAGAAAATTTGTTCCTCTTGGTTTCTGAGGACAGGACAAGGAGTAATGGGCTTAAAGTGCAGCAGGGGAGGTTTAGATTGGACATTAGGAAAAAATTCCTAACTGTCAGGGTGGTCAAATATTGGAATAAATTGCCAAGGGAGGTGGTGGAATCTCCCTCTCTGGAGATATTTAAGAACAGGTTAGATAGACATCTGTCAGGGATGGCGCAGACGGAGCTTGGTCCCGCCTTGAGGGCGGGGGGCTGGACTCGATGACCTTTCGAGGTCCCTTCCAGTTCTATTATTCTATCATTCTATGATTCTACTTCTGTCTGTACTTACAAGACAGTATGCGGTCATATTCACTGTTCCCCAAAACACACTCCTACTTCCTGTCACACATGCTCTCCCCCTCTTCAGTTGAAAAGCAGCTGGCAATCTAATAGGATGACCATTGAGCAATGGAATTAGGAAATCTGCATTATATGACATTGTGCCTGCCCAACAAGGTATTCATTGTAAACCCTTTCCAAAATATCTTGCAGCCAGCTGCACACTGGGATATTTACCACAATGCACTGTACTCTTTGGCTGTGTCTAGATTGCACCCCTTTTCCGTAAAAGGGATGCAAATTAGACACAGCGCAATTGCAAATGAAGCGGGGATTTAAATCTTCCCCGCTTCATTTGCATAAACATGGCTGCTGCTTTTTTCTGGCTCAGGGCTTTGCCGGCAAAAAGCGCCAGTCTAGACAGGGATCTTTCGGAAAATAAAGCCTTTTCCGAAAGATCCCTTCTTCCTGATTTTAAGAGGAATAAGGGATCTTTCGGAAAAGGCTTTATTTTCCGAAAGATCCCTGTCTAGACTGGCGCTTTTTGCCGGCAAAGCCCTGAGCCAGAAAAAAGCAGCAGCCATGTTTATGCAAATGAAGCGGGGAAGATTTAAATCCCCGCTTCATTTGCAATTGCGCTGTGTCTAATTTGCATCCCTTTTACGGAAAAGGGGTGCAATCTAGACACAGCCCTTGTTATTGCAAGAGCTGCTAATGTGGATGTACTTACAGTGTGGACAGGCAACAGCAATTTAATATGAGTGCTTTTATAAAACTTTGCAGTGTATACATAACCTTAAAAATTACAATGGGATTTATTGTTTCATTCGCATCCTACGTTATATGCACTCAATCAACATTTTCTCCTTTGATATATAATCACACATTCATTTCTCCTCTTAAATTGTTTTATTGACCCACTATCACCTCATTACCCCAAAATTGCTCCCGGGCACCCATTCACTTCCTTTCTTTAGCACTTCATCCCTCCCATTTTGTCTTCCATTGCCCCCTTCCTATGCAATTGCTTCCCTACTAACTTCACCACATTCACGGATTCACTCTACCTACATCAACATTCACATTTATCTCATTACATTAATCTTGATATTTTGCTACTTTCAAGGCAGTGAATAAAATTCACTCTTTAGAGAAAGAATGTAAATAGCTCAAGCAGTGGTGAGTCTCACCCATAGATTCAAAAACCAGGTAAATATCCTTGTCATTCTGAGCCCGGATGACATTAAGCAGCTTGATGATATTTGGATGTTCTCCAAATTCCTGCAGGGAAATAAAACCCACTTGTCAGAGTTAAGTGACTTCACATACAAATCCAGTGAAGGGAGATAATAACCTATTATACATAAGCAGGGCATGACAAATGTCGGCGAAAACCACTCGCCAGCCCTGTACTGCGCATGCACAAGAGCCGCATTGCGCATGCGTGCACCGCGGATGACTGGGGCATGCGGCTGAAATCTACTCGCCACGGGTGAGTAGATTGTATAATTTGTTGAGCCCTGTGCATTAGAATATGGTCCAAAATAAAGATCAGGAGGTTATTCCTTTCATTGTGCCTCTGTGAAAATACAGATGTATTTTTATGGAACAAATAATACTGTTCACATTCTGAACTCTGCAATGAAGACAGAATTACTTCTTTTCTATAGTGCTCATCATTACAATAGGGCTACGTCTACACTGGCACCCTTTTCCGGAAATGCTTAAAACGGAACAGTTTTACATTATGAGTATTTCCGGAAAAAGCATGCCTACATTGGCAGGATGCTTTTCCAGAAAAGCACTTTTTCCATAAAAGCGTCCGTGCCAATGTAGATGCGCTTTTCCGCAAAAAAGCCCCAATCATCATTTTCGCGATCAGGGCTTTTTTACAGAAAACATTACTGTGCTGTCTACACTGGCCCTTTTCCGGAACAGTTTTCCGAACGGGAGCAGCATAGTATTTCCGGAAAAGCGGCTGATTTCTTACAGAAGATCGTCAGTGCTTTTCCGGAAATTCAAGGGGCCAGTGTAGACAGCTGGCTAGTTATTCCGGAAAAGCAGCTGATTTTCCTAAATAAGTGGCCAGTGTAGACACAGCCTAGGAGTACCTCAGAAGCATCAGAGAATTCATTTGCACAACACTGATATGAAGTGAGTGATACTATTATTCCAGTTTTACTGATGTTGAACTGAGACATACAGAAGTTAAGGCCAACATTTTCAGAAGTGACCACTAATCTTGGTCACAACATGGCAGAGGGGCATTGCAGGCACTTGATGGCATATATCACATTAATGCACGTGCAGGTGGTTGACCATATACAAGCAACACCATCCAATTTGTTCCAAAACCTCCTCTAATGACCTCAATCTGGGATAATTCCTCACATTTGTCACCTAAAAAGAATGGTTCAAGTTTGTGAATCTCCCCAATATATTCAGCAGTGAAGACTGAAGCAAAGAATTCGTTTAGCTTCAATGCTATGACTTTATCATCTTTGAGGGCTTCTTTAGCATCTCGATCGTCCAAGGGCCCCACTGGTTATTGAGTCGGCTTTCTGCTTCTGATGTACTTAAATATTTTACTATTATTTTGGGGGGTTTTGGCTAGCTGTTCTTCAAACTCCTGTTTGGCTTTTCTTATTATATTTTTTATACTTAATTTGATAATGTTTATGGTCCTTTCTATTTTCTATTTTCCTCACTAGGATATGACTTCCACTTTTTAAAAGATATCTTTTTATCTGTCACTGCTTCTTTTACCTGGCTGTTAAGCCATTGTGGCACTTTTTGGTTCTCTTATTGTGTTTTTTAATTTGGGGTATACATTTAAGTTGGGCCTCTATTATGGTGTCTTTGAAAAGTTTCCATGCAGGTTGAAGAGATTTTACTTTTGTCACTGTGCCTTTTAATTTCCATTTAACTAACTGCCTCATGTTTGTGTAGTTCCCCTTTCTGAAATTAAATGCCACAGTGTTAGGTTTCTGAGGTGTTTTTCCCACCACAGTGATGGTAAATTTTATTACATTACGGTCACTATTTCCAAGCAGTCCAGTTATATTTACCTCTTGAACCCGATCCTGTGCTCCATTTAGGACTAACTCAAGAATAGCCTCCCCCTTTGTGGGTTCCAGAACCAGTTGCTCCAAAAAGCAGTCATTTAAGGTACCAAGAAATTTTATCTCTGCATCCCGTCCTCAGGTGACATGTACCCAGTCAATATGGGGATAGTTGAAATCCCCCACTATTATTGAGTTTTTTAATTTGATAGCATTTCATAGTCACTATTACTGTCCTGATCAGGTGGTCGATAATATATCCCTACAGCTATATTCTTATTATTGGAGCATGGAATTACTATTCATAGAGATTCTATGGAACATTTTGGCTCATTAAGATTTTTACTTCATTTGATTCTACATTTTCTTTCACATATAGTGCCACTCCCCCACCATCATGACCTGCTCTGTCCTTCCGATATATTTTGTACCCTGGTATGACTGTGTCCCACTGATTGTCCTCATTCCACCAAGTTTCCATAATAGCACTTTAATAATTTGTCACTATTTATCTGTCTGCCATTTCCTGATGTGTTAGACTCTTTTTCATTTAATAGTGTCTCATTTGATCTGACCCATACTTCCATCATCTCCTCCTGACTAGAACATAGAGCAACTCTATTAATAGAACCTCCCCTAATAGATGTCTCTGTCCGATTCATGAGCTCCTTTACACCTGTTGGTGTTCCTCCAGTCCTTAGTTTAAAAACTGTTCTACAGCCTTTTTAATGGTAAGTGTCAGCAGTCTGGTTCCATTTTGATTTAGGTCATGGGTTCCCAAACAGGGAGGCATGCCCCCTGGGCTGGGGGGACATGAAGAACTTCCAGGAGGGGCGTGAGGTGACCCAGCCACACACACACCCATTAATCCCACCCCAAGTTTTGCTGCTATTTTCTTGGAAAGGGGGCATGAGGGTTTCTCAAAAATCAAAAAGAGGATATGATGCCGAAAAGTTTGGGAACCACTGATTTAGGTGGTGCCCATCCTTCCTGTATAGACTCCCCCATTCCCCAAAATTTCCCCATTTCCTAATAAATCTAAACCCCTCCTCCCTACACCATTGTCTCATCCACTCATTGAGACTCTGAAGCTCTGTCTACCTACCTGGCCCTGTGCATGGAACTGGAAGCATTTCAGAGAACGCTACCATAGAGGTCCTGGATTTCAATCGGTTTCCTAGCAGCCTAAATTTGGTCTCCAGAACCTCTCTCCTACCCTTCCTTATCTCATTGGTACCTACATGTACCACAACCACCAGTTCCTCCCCAGCACTATGCATAAGACTATCTAGATGTCTCAAAAGATCTGCAACCTTCGCACCAAACCAAGAAACCATACAGTTCTCCCAGTCATCACAAACCCAGATATCTAAGTTTCTAATGATCGAATCCCCCATTACTAACACCTGCCTTTTCCTAATGAGTGAAGTTCCCTTCCCCGGAGAGGTATCCTCAGTGCCAGAAGATACCACAACATCCTCTGGAAGGAGGTTCCCAACTATGGAATCATTTCCCTCTGCTCCAGGTGAATATTCTCCTTCCGAGCCTTTCATTCTCCTTAACAGCACAGGGGCTGTCTGACTGGGGGGTGGGACAATTCTACAGTGTCCCGGAAAGCCTCAGCTACGTAACTCTTGGCCTCTCTTAGCTACTTCAGTTCAGCCACCCTGGCCTGCAGAGTCCATACGTGGTCTCTGAGGGCCAGGAGCTCCTTGCACCGAATGCACACATATGCCACCCACCCACAGGGCAGGAAATCATACATGCTACATTGTGTGCAATAAACAGGATAGCCCCTATTCTGCTGCTGGGCTTCTGCCAGCATTCTCTCCTACAGCTACTTAGGTTATTGACAGGGTTTTTATTTAAATCAGGAAGTTTTGGTTTTAGTTTAATTTAAAAGTTTTAAAGAATGGCAAGTGTACCTCACCCCCCTCTAATTCTCCTTCGGAACTCCCTCTCGAAACTCCCTGTTAGCTGCCCCTGGTTGCTTTGTCACGGGCTTTATAATGCCCTGGCCTTCCTGATAGCCCTACCCCCTGGCTAAGGTTCGACCAATGAACAGAGGGTTCTAGATTTCAAATCCTCGTTAAGAAGCTCACAGCTTTCAACTGTCGGCCACGGCACACAGTCCTTCAAACAAACAGCTCATCCTGTTTACCTCAGACCATTGATCCAATTTGTCCAGATCATTTTTAATTATGACCCTATCCTCCAGATTAAGAACATAAGAACATAAGAACGGCCGTACTGGGTCAGACCAAAGGTCCATCTAGCCCAGTATCCTGTCTGCCGACATTGGCCAGCACCAGGTGCCCCAGAGAGAGTGGACTAAAGACAATTATCAAGCAATTTGTCTCCTGCCATCCTTCTCCAGCCTCTGACAAACAGAGGCCAAGGACAACAATTCTATCCCCTGGCTAATAGCCTTTACTGGACCTAACCTCCATGAAATTATCTAGCTTCTCTTTAAACTCTGTTATAGTTCTAGCCTTCACAGCCTCCTCTGGCAAGGAGTTCCACAGGTTGACTACACGCTGTGTGAAGAAGAACTTTCTTTTATTAGTTAAAAACCTGCTACACATTAATTTCATTTGGTGTCCTCTAGTTCTTCTATTATGGGAACTAATAAATAACTTGTCTTTATCCGCCCTCTCCACACCGCTCATGATTTTATAGACCTCTATCATATCCCCCCTCAGTCTCCTCTTTCCTAAACTGAAGAGCCCCAGTCGCTTTAACCTCTCCTCATATGGGACCCGTTCCAAACCCCTAATCATTTTAGTTGCCCTTTTCTGAACCCTTTCCAAGGCCAAAATATCTTTTTTGAGGTGAGGAGACCACATCTGTACACAGTATTCAAGATATGGACGTACCATAGTTTTATACAGGGGCAGTAAGATATTCTGGGTCTTATTTTCTATCCTTTTCTTATAATCCTTATTTTCTATCCTTTTCTTATTTTCTATCCTTTTCTTATAATAATTCCTACCATCCTATTTGCCTTTTTCTATCCTTTTCTTATAATAATTCCTACCATCCTATTTGCCTTTTTGACCGCTGCTGTACACTGTGTGGAAGTTTTCAGAGAACTATCCACGATAACTCCAAGATCTCTTTCCTGATTTGTCATAGCCAAATTAGCCCCCATCATACTGTACCTATAGTTGGGGTTATTTTTTCCCCGATGTGCATTACTTTACACTTATCCACATTAAA